AGTGGACCTATGGTACGTCGATGGTCTCCGTTCCTCCATAATTAGTGGTTTCTTCAAGCCTGGTATTGGGACTACTTTCTGTTACCACCAATGGTTAGCCATGACGGTCCGTCAATGGATCGACAGATCATCGCTCCTTCTATAGCCCCACACTTACTCATATTTTGCCGATTTGATTTCAGCTGCTTGGACCATCAGTCGCGATCATCACCTATGGACCATCACAGGATCGACGGACCATCAGTGGCTCCATAGGTCATCACTTCTGCAGATTTCAGCACAATCTTCAACATTTTTGTTCTGGACAGTTTTTCTGCAAGCACAGAGAAAAAAATTAAAACTACTACAAAAAGGCCTTAGACACACACTAAACTTAAGGAAAAAGCACTGGAAGTACTGTAAAACCAAGGTACTCAACACCTTCAACTTAAATGCGTTGTTTATCATCAAGTGATGCATTATGACTCACCATAACACATTTGTACAAAAGTATCTTTTTTTAAGCTTTCACAATCATCTGGCTATCAATCCTTATTATTTTCATTATTTTTATGCATGATATCACTCTTAGTCTCATTCATGTGGATCAGATCATAACACTAACTCACTACACACCGACACCTCTCATCTTTTATCTCTCACCAAGGTACCAACTTTCCAATATTGCAACAAGTGTCTTCACTTTAATAACAACATCCTCGTTTTTCATATAGTGATTTAAATTTGAGTATAAGAATTACTTTTCAATTCTAGCTCTCAGAACCAATTCACATCTAGTTGATACTTGTCACCATAGGCTTGACTTTATATTCACTGCTTTATGTTCACCATATTAGACTCTCAGGATCACGAGGAATTTTATGGCTTGCAAAGTAGGATCATGTTAAGGTAGGGTACATTTGGATGTATTTTAGTGACATGTTTCCCTCATTGTCATAATTGCTAAGTGTCCTGCCTTTTCATTGTTTATTATGCCCTACTCTTCATCTTTTCTAATATATTTTGCCTTTCTTTTCTCCTTTCTTTTTCCTTTTGTGAAAATGATCCTTTTTCATTTTTATTTTCAAATGTTTTCACTTGATTTAAATTTTGATTAAGCCACTTTTCTTTTCTTCTTGTAATAATTCTTTTAACCCCGCTTTCGAGGACATTCATCATGATATCCACCCTCAACTCATGAATTTCCCATGAGTCAAAGTACACAATACCCAAGGTTAGGTCAGGGCCATGACGAACTTTGTTTATGCATTAGCTATCCTCAACTTATGATTTTTGCATAAGCTGAGGTGTATCCAAGGAGGGGCCAAGGCCAATACATTGTACCCAAAAAAGATGAGTTGGGATAGAAAAGAAAGGTTCATTATAAGCTCAAATTATTTGGATAAAAAAGGATTAATTTCATTTGGTTTTCTTTCATTTGGGTCTGGGGAACTAACAATTCCCCATCGACGGACCATTGGTCAGTCGACGGTCTGTCGACTGTTTGGTCAAATATTCCCTAACTTAGGAAAAATTAGAAATCATACCTGGGATCCACGGATACCATCGACGTTTCGTCAGTTAGTCCGTCGATCAGTGACCATTTTCTACAGATTTTTGATGATTTTGTCCACGCACATTGAACACCCTATAAGCTATTGTTTTTGTGTTTTCTGGACACTTTTTAGACACGGACCCTAGTCTACTCTCTAGTCAACACTTCTAAAAGAAAGTTAAAGAAAATGCATACATGATATTAATTAAAAAAAATCAAAATAATGCTCTACTCCTAGAAAATCAAGAAAAGCCTATTGTTGGCTAAAGGATACATATTAGGTTTCCCCCAAATCAGCCCTTGATTTAACGTCGCAGCACGATGCAAGACTCTTGATTACTGAGACTTCATCAAGATGGTATGCCTCAACCACTTCATTCGCATTTTCCACAGGCCCTAGGTAGATTTTGATTCTTTGTCCCTTCATCTTGAACCTTGAACCATTCTTGTTCTCCAACTCAACCGCACCATGAGGAAATACTTGAGTGATCAAGAATGGGACAGTCAATTTGGACTTGAGTATGCCCAGAAACAAGCGCAACCTAGAGTTGAACAAAAATAGCAAATCCCCAACCACAAAGTCACGCTTGTCAATCTTTTGGTCATGGTACTTCTTCATCTTTTCTTTGTAGAAGGCTAAACTTTCATATGCCTTCAAGCGAAACTAGTCAAGCTCAGTTAACCCATTCATCCTCTGCTCCCGCTGCTTCATTCCAATCCATCTTCAGTTTCTTCATTGCCCACGTGGCCTTATGCTCTAACTCAACCAGTAAGTGACAAGACTTCCCATATACAAGTTGATACGGAGGCATACCTATGGGAGTCTTGTATGCTATTCGGTAGGCCCAAAGAGCATCATCAAGCCTCCTTGACCAATCCGTTTTACTTGCATTCACCATTTTTGCCAAAATCTGCTTAATTTCTCTTTTTGACACATCAACTTCCCACTAGTCTGAGGATGGTAAGGAGTGTCCACATTGTGGAGAACCTCATATTTCTCCAATAAATCTTTGAACAACTTGTTGCAAAAATGGTATCCCCCGTCACTAATAACGGCCCTTGGGGTGCCAAATCTTGTAAATATGTTCTTTTTCAAGAACGTGGTGACACACTTTTCTTTATTATTTGCAAGTGATACCCATTTTGACACATAATCAACCGCTACAATAATATACTTCATCCTATAAGAACTCGCAAAAGGTCCCATAAAGTCAATGCCCCACACATCAAACAACTCGATTACAAGAATTGGATTTAAACGGAGCTCTTGACTTCTAGAAATACCTTTGTCTCTTTGACACCTATCACATGACTTGGCGAACTCATGAGCATATTGGTGGATGGTTGGCCAATAGTAGCCACATTGCAAGATTTTATGGGCAGACCGAATACCACTATGATTCCCACCCACAGGCGAGGAGTGACATGCCTCCAAAACACTCAACATCTTAACCTCCAGCACACACCAGCGAATGAGACCATCACCACAACTCCTATATAAATATGTCTCATCCCGAAAGAATTTTTTTCACATCATGCATGAACTATTTCCTTTGATGAAAGGACATGTTCAATGGGACGATATCACTAGCCAAGTAATTCGCAAAATCGGCGAACCATGGAATCAAGTCTGGAGACGCAGCAAATACATGCTCATCCGGAAAAGTATCATTAATTTCAACCTTTTCACCAATTCCCCCATAGCTTCATCCACTAATCTGGACAAGTAATCGACAACTTGATTTTCGGTCCCTTTTCTGTCTATCACTTCAAACTAGAACTCTTGCAAAAATAATACCCATCTAATCAACCCCGGTTTCACATCCTTCTTTGCCATCAAATATCTCAAAGCAAAATTATCAGTATGCACTATGGCTCTCGTGCCAAGAAAAAAGGAGCAAAACTTCTCGTATACAAAAACAACCGCAAAGAGCTCTTATTCAGTCACAGTATAATTATTTTGAGCTTCATTAAGGGCTTACTGGCATACCAAAATAGGGTGAAGGATTTTATCTCTTCTTTTTCCCAATACTACACCAAGAGCAGCCCCACTAGCATCACACATAACCTCAAATGGTTTGCTCCAATCTGGAGAAATAATATTGGGTGCATACACCAACTTCTTCTTTAACTCTCCAAATGCTTTCAGACAAGATTCATCAAAATAAAATTTACACTCTTTCTCAAGTAACTTGCAGAGAGGATGTGCAATTGTTGAAAAATCGTTGATGAACCTTTGGTAGAAACCCGCATGCCCAAGAAAACTCCTCTCACCTTTTATAGAGATGGGTGGAGGAAATCTCTCTATCACCTCAACTTTAGCTCGACCAACCTCTATACCCTTCTCTGAGATGTGATGGCCCAATACAATACCCTCTTTCACCATGAAGTTACATTTTTCCCAATTTACCACAAGGTTGCAATCTTCACACCCCTTGAGAACATCGTCCAAGTGACTAAAACAATGATCAAACGAGTTAAAACAATAGAAAAATCATCCATAATACCTCAATGGTTTCCTCCAGCATATCGGAAAATATAGACATCATACACCTCTGGAAAGTAGTTGATGCATTAAACAACCCGAAGGGCATCCTTTTGAATTCGAAAGTTCCATAAGGACAAGTAAAGGGGGTTTTCTCGTGATCTTCCAGTGCAATAGAGATTCGGTTGTAACCCGAATAACCATCAGGAAAACAATGCCACCCCTTTCCTGCAAGCTTATCCAACATCTGATCCATGAAGGGCATAGGAAAATGGTTCTTCTCAGTCCATGCATTCAATTTTTGATAATCCATACACACTCTCCGTCCGGTCACCAGCCTCATTAGAACAAGCTCATTTTCCCATTAGGGACCACAATCATTCCCCTTTCTTAGGCACACAGTGATTAGGGCATACCCAACTATTATCAGCGATCGGATATATGACTCCGGCATCCAACCACTTAATAATTTCCTTCTTCACTACCTCTTGTATAGGTGGATTTAAACATCTCTGGCATCAATACTGTGCTTATGATCAGAAATGAGTTGAATTTTATTTTAACAAATACCAGGAGGGATCCCAATAATATCCACAATAGTCCACCCAATAGCTCTCTTGAACCTGTTTAACACTTCAACCAAACACTCTACATGTTGCATATTCAAATTTGATGCAATAATTACCGACAAAGTGTAACCTTTCCCCAAGAAAACACACCTCAGATGAGGTGGTAGAGCCTTAAGCTCCAATTTTTGGGCCACCTCAATAGATGGTTTTGCAGGTGGAGATTCGCGATGTTTCATATCTAAATCCAATTTCTCTAGTTTGAACCAAACATCACCTCGATAAAGTGCCGCAACCAATGACCCATACTCATCAATACAATCACTATTAAAATTCATGATTGTTGCCGCTAGTGCCTCGACCCAAAGACACTCTTCTATTTGTACCTTGGACGAACTCTCAACCTTATAGGATATTATAGATACTGATTGGAGCTCACACTCTTCCTAACGGACCTACAAATGTTGAAAGTCGCTTCTTTATTGTTCAACCGAAACTTCATCTTCCCTTTCTTCATATCAACTAAGGCACGATCCGTAGCCAGTAATGGCCTCTGAAGAATAATTGGCACCTCAAAGTCCACCTCAAAAACAAGAATCACAAAATCGCCTGGAAAAATAAATGACTCCACTTTCACTATAACAACATGGAGTATCCCAATAGACCTCTTCACCGTTTGATCGTCCATTAGTAGCCGCATCGCAGTGGGCTTTGGGTCGCCTAAAGCAAACTTCTGATAAATAGATAAAGGCATGAGATTTATGCTTTCCCCAAGATCACATAATGGTTTAGCAAAGTGAAACAACCTGATTGTACATGAAATAGTGAAAGCACCCGGATTTTCGTTCTTTTGAACAAGAGACCTTCTAGCAATAGCACCACAGTGTTGCATCAGATCATCGTCCTCAAAACTAACCGATATCTTCTTAGCGACCATATATTTCATGAACTTGGCATAACTGGGCATTTGTTCAAAAGATTTTATCAAAGGGACATTGATGGAAAGCTGTTTCAACATAGTAATAAAATACCGCTATTTACCATCTTCGGTCTTTTTCACCAATCTTTGCGGAAATGGAGGTTGTGGCCTAGGAATAAGAGTCACTTTTTGGGGTGTCTTAGATTTTTTCCCTGATTTATCTACCAACTCACCACTAACTTCCACTACCTCATCACCTCCTATCTTATCATCTTCGATGCCAGACGGCATAAGTGGATCCATGGTCTGCTTACCCCCTCGAATATTGACTGGCATACAATGTCCATTATTTTTCAGATTCTGGATAATATTTCTATGAAGAGTACCCGGTTGGCGTAGGTTCACACTAGAGGACAATTGGGTCCTTTGCAACTCAAGATGTTTGATTGAGATTGCATGTGAATCCACCTTTTGCCCAATATTTGGTAAATCCCCTCTCAAATCTTTGTTGTGCTCATCACTAGCATCAAACCTACTCATTATCTACTGCATCATATCCTCAACTCGCACCATACTACCTCTACTATCCTTAGGAGCAACTTCCCAATTTTGAGGTGGAATATAGGGCCCACTCGATCGTTTCTGTTACCATTGTTACCCTGGTTAAAGTTGTTATCGTGGTTGTAGTTGTCATTTCGAACATAGTGACCCTCTTGATTGTAATTCCTGTATTTCCGACCTTGATTTCCTGACCTTGGCGCCAATTCTCCTGATTATAGCCTAGGGCATTTGGCCAAAAAAACCCCGTCTTCTCTGCATAAGAATCTTCTTCATAGTAGTACTCATCAACCGGTGGTGGTGGTTTAGTTAAATAGTTCACCGCCATTTGCCTTTTCTCCACCATCGGTGACATGTTTTAACACCAATCCAAGTTCAGTTCTCATTTGAGTCATCTCTTCACGAATCATATCTGCGGCTGGGTTGTGTGAAGCTTGCACTGCAAAAGTGTTTCTCCCAGTATCTGACTTCCTAGTGCTCCAAGATTTATTATTTCAAGAAACTTTCTCTAACTTCTCAGCGATCTCTACATAAGTACACTTCCCATAAGAACCACCCACAATCTTATCAAGCACTACTTTATTATTATCATCTTGTTCCAGATAGAAGTACTCTTTCAGTAACTCCTCATTAATGCGGTGGTTTGGACACTTCTCAAGAATGATGTGAACCTATCCAAAAACTACTTACTGACTTTCCAGAGAAATCCACCAAGTTGTTCACCCTGTCTTTGTGGTTTAGCTTTTTAGAAACCAGGTAATACCTTGCTAGGAACACATCATTCAATTTCTCCCAAGTATAGATTGAATTGTAGGGCTACTCATCAAACCAAATTGCGGTCTTCCCTGTCAGTGAGAGGGACCATCCTTATTCCAATTACATCCATATCTAAGTCTGGCCCACCTTCATAAATCTTACAGACCGACCTTAGTTTTGCAATGTAATCATGTGGATCCTCATATTGTAGCACCGAAAACAACCCTCTAGCGGCGAGCATATGTATCAAGCTACTTGTTACCATGAAAGTATGACCATGTAGTAGAGGAGGTAGGAAAAGTGTCCCATCAGAGTTAGTGATGTTAACATTTCTCCTATAGTACTCTTGATTGCGTGGTGCGGGAGGTTAACTCCTCGGATTACCTTACCAGGAATCGCTCGATTATGAGCACAACCAGCGGGGGATGTTAAGGGTTGATATCATCATTGATATAAGTAATATTGTTTTGAATATTCATTTTGTGAAGTGTGTGATTATGTTCAGGATCAAGTGGAAGTATTGGTTCTCCTCGACTCTGTGTACTTGGCCTACACTAAAGCTAGACCTGCGAAAGATGAAAAAAAGTAAAATCAGGAAATTATTGACTAAAATATGGTAATGTGCTTAAAGTTAATCCAAAAGACACTTTCCCCGGCAGCGGCGCCAAAAAAAATTGATACGCACAAATTATACTTTCAAGAAGTATAAGTGATCGTATCAAGTAAACAACCCAATTGATAGGTTGGGGTCGATCCTATGAGAAAAATGATTTAGAATTAACTTCAATCTATGATTACATCATTTTCGAAAACAATTAATTTAATGGGGGGTTTTATGTAACAAAAATGTTTAATTATTTCTAGGTAAGACAAATAGCAAGTTTATAACTTTAGTGTTTATCAAGTGATGAGATAAACTAAAGTGTAAGTGTTCCCCATAGGTTCTTAACATAGTAATACTAGTTAAAACAATCATTTCCTAGTATCTTGCATGCAAGTGATAAGTTATGTAACCTTATTCCTTGGTCCAGAACCTAGAGAATTTAACTCTGTACCTTGGTCCAACTACGTGTGTCTACTTTACTAAACCTTAGCTTTGCCTCATATTAAGCATCATATTCAATGTATGGCTAAGTTACTACTTTGCACCAATTGAAACTAGCTTATTAGATATTGTATACTAAATCTATGTTGATAATTCTTTTCCTATCAACTACCTCCATGGTCCGGCAGTAGAAATAAGGCAAGTTCTAACTTGTGCACTCGTTAAAATACTTCTAAATGAAAGAATTATCAATACAATGCAAGACCCTATTATAGAATTGTTATGTTAGCTAGTTTTACCTTGTTAATTACTGATGGTTCCCAGAACCCTAGTTGTGGATTTAGTTGCCTATGCTAAGAATGAAACAATACTACTAGTTAAACAAGAAATCATGTACTTACTTTAAAAAGTTCTCAAGAAAACCTAGAAATATCACTTGAATTCACTAAAATATTGAAAGAAATGATTCTGGAAAATCCATTGTTTCCCAAAAAAGCAAAGTTTTACTTCCAATTATACAAATCTTTAAAATAGTGAAGTCTCTAACCCCAAAAATGAGGTTTTTATTCCTATTTATAATAATAAAGTCCTAATATAAAAAGGAGTTCTATTTAAGGAAAAAAATTCTAACAAAAACGCATCTGCCGTTAATGACCCTACTGATGGTCTGTCGATGGAACGACAAATCATCGACAATTTCCGTCGATCCATACTTCAAATCAATTTCAGCTTCAACTTTCAAACACTTTCTGTTACAATTTACGGACCAACAACATAGTTTGTCAGTGCACCTATGGTCCGTTGATGGCCTCTGATCCTCCATACTATGTGGTTTCTACAAGCCGGGTACTGAGACTACTTTTTGTTACCACCGACGTTTAGCCATGATGGTCCGTCAGTGGATCGATGAAGCATAGCTTTTTTAGTAGCCCCATACTTAGTCAGATTTCCCCGATTGGATTTCAGCTGCTTGGACCTTCTCTCGACGATAATCACCTACGGACCGTCACAGGGTCAACGGACTGTCGGTGTCTCCGGAGGTTATCACTTCTACAGATTTTAGCACAGTCTTCAGCGTCTTCATTCTAGACAGTTTTCATGCAAAAACAGAGAAAAACACATTAAAACTACTACAAAAAGGCCTTAGACACACACTAAACTTAAGTAAAAATCATTGAAAGTACCGTAAAACCATAGTTCATCAGTCGTTCAAAAAAGGGTTAGGTACTATGGTGAAGTTGAGCACTTCTTTTCATTCCCAAATGGATATTCAAGCAAAGCGTAAAATAAAAACCCTTGAAGATATGCTTAGGGAATGCATCGTTGATTTTAAAGAGAGTTGGGATAGACAATTACCTTTGGTGGAGTTTGCCTACAATAATAGTTTTCATTCTTCCATTTCCATAGCTCCCTATAAAGCCTTGAATGGTAGGAGGTGTAGGTCTCCTATTGGATGTTTGGAAGTGGGTGAGCCATCGCTTCTTGGTCCCTAACAGATTTATAAGACTTTGGAAAAGGTCCATATAATAAGGAACCAGTTATTAATAGCCTATAGTCAGTAAGAGTCTAATGCCGATCATAGGAGAAAGAATCTGGTGTTTGAAGAACATGATAAGGTGTATTTAAAAATTTCACCGATAAAAGAGGTGGTTAGATTTTGCAAGAAAAGGAAATTGAGTCCCCGTTATGTGGGTCCCTATGATATCTTGCAAAGGGTTGTTAAGGTTGCCTATGAATTGAAACTTCCTAGTGAATTGGCTTTGGTTCATCCTGTTTCCATATTTCTATGTTGAAAGAGTGTATCTGTGATGCCGAGTCCATTCTTCCTATTGAGGGTTTTGGTGTGAAGAATAACCTCTCTTATGAGGAAGTTCCGGTTCAAATTCTTGATAGACAAGTCAAGAAGTTGAGGAATAAAGAAGTGGTTTCTATAAAGGTGTTATGGAAAAATCATCTAGTTGAGAGAGCAACATGGGAGGTCGAGGGAAACATGAAGTCCCGCTACCCTCATCTTTTTGAGAATTAAGGTTATTCATTCTTCTTAATAATATAAATATGACTAGAAATTGAAGTTTCTTGAGTTTGACGTGAAGTTTTGCACATTATGCATTTTTGAAAGAACTTATAATGAAGTTACTATAGTATTGCTATTAAAAACTTGAAATCTTGCTTTTTGCTTGTTTTGAGTTATGTTGTGCATTCTGATACAATGAGTCTTCATGAAATGATAGGTAGCATGTTGTTAAGTGTAACTTTGTGCTAATAAACTCATGTATTCTATGTTTAGCTCATAATGTTGTGAGAAGGAAATGTATCATGATAAAATGTTTTGAGCCTTATGTGTGGTAATATCAGTTTTCATATTTTCCCTTTCGAATTTACATGTTTTATGTTGATTTGATATTGTTGATTGGTTGGGCTGCTAGTCTTGGGTCTATTCCTTCCATCAAAAGAATTTTATTGTCATTCAAGATGAATTCCTAACTTGAGGGAGGGGGGGAGAGAGAATGTAACACCTTGAAAACCCAAGACTCATTGTAGTGCCTAAAATATGTGTCATAAATTCTAAACACTATTTCTAAGTCCATTTTTAATGAATATAGGTCATTTAGGAGATTTAAGACCCAAAACATCTGAAACATCCGAAAAGTTTGCTCAAAGGGATGATAGTGTGCCTTAGCCTACTTGA